ACTGCTACGGAGGTTTCTCTCCCACACGCCGTTCGTGCTAACCGCGACTCCGTTTTTCCGTTTTTCCCTTTTCCAACTGCATAGCTGAGCGAATGTTATATCATACTATGTGAGAAGTTTAGTGTTTTCTCGTACGGCGAATTCTAAACCATCTCTTATTTCCCAAACTAGTACTTCATGTTACCGTTAAGTTTGTATTATAGCTAGATGTTCTCTAATTACAGTAACACGAATGGTTATATATGCGGAGTGAGGTTTACGTGTTAGAATTGCGAGAAGAAGCTCATGTGTCAGGAGTGGTTCAAGTGGCCTCTAGAGCGCCGAAGATAGTTCTATCAGTTCCAGTGCTATCTGGACCTACGGAGAAGGTTCTCCGGATTTTTTTCCCCCAGTTATCACGGGGAGTGTGGTGAAAAATGGGGGCATGCGCTGGGGAATAGAGATATGTGCGGCTATCTATGGGGATATTGGGCTGCGTCTATTTACTTTCACTTATGCTTTGGCTTTTCCGTTAGTTTAGAGCGTCGAATAAGATGACGAAGTTTACTACCATACCCCTCCTATCATGCAGCCTTTCCACGTGCCAAGTTTTCAGTGAATCCGCTCGTTCCGTCGCTGCGCTATTTTCTAGACACTTGCATTATGATAGGGCCACGCAGTTGGGGCGGGTGCGGGGAATCCAGGACAAGCATCAGTGAAAAGTAACTTTAACCAGTAGCCATCATTCTTCACGCATGGTACTATAGAGAAAACCCCTGGTAGAGTATGTCACCCAAGATCATATGTTTCATACTTCCTATGGAGAAGCTCCATCTAACAGCCAAGACGAATAACCCGGGAGTGTATCATGTCGTACGCGAAAAGAGATCGTGAAGACCTTTCTTTACAAACCTACTGTGTGGGGTACATCTGCCTCCACAACTCTCTATCTTGCACAAGATCAGTCCCATCAGGCAGGCTTTATTTCCACCTCCCAAGCCCCAGAAAGTGATTCACTAGCATTCAAGTTCTATGTTTCTCTTTCTATTACGCTACTGCATTCGAAAACGAAAACACTAATAAGGCAATCACTTCTATAACAATCAACGCTTGAACTCAAGCCGGCTCTTATGCTAATGTAGGCTATAAGCATACGTCACCGGTTCAAACTTCAGGGGGCGCAATACCTCTCCACAATTCCGCAAGAGCCATTTTGGAAACATGATAGAAAGCACCTCTTCTGGTGTGGTACCGAGGAACTGGGTTCTTGTATATTGGCTCTGCAAAAACAGCCTCATTTTCAACCCATCAGATCCCTAACTCCTACTCGAGTGATATTTCATGAGCCTTGCGAGGTTCGCACTGTTCCCTGAACGCACCGTGCCACCCTGGAGCCGGGTTGAGAACTATCGAACCAGCCTTTGATCTAAGGGGAGCAAACTGGCGCCTACTACACGAGTGGCTCTGGCGGAATAGCTTGACGTGCATAGTTGCATTAACTTGCCAGCAGATCTGTACTTTTTTTTAGTGGCCCTTAGCATAGAAGCCCCCACCTCCGTACGAAAATCACTGGGTTCTCTACAGGAGTACCGAGCTTTTTGCCTAACTCCGAGGGAACCCTCCCTTGGATTCTTATCATCTAGAAGCGTGGGAACAACCTTTGCAGACAATTAATTAATTGGGGCAAGTGCGTGTGTGCCCCTTCCTTGCATGGCACGCGGGAGCTAAAGCCGATATCTTAAAGGATAATAATCCCGGCTAGGATCCTTCTATCGACCGGTTGGATTGCAGTTAGCCTGCGAATAAAATCTCGAATGCATGGTGCCATCTTCTTCGAAGGATGATGCGGTTTCGATCGTAACAACGCAGCATCCGGATTGCCTGGATAATCTAGAGATATTGATTGAATCTATCTATGCCCGGGAAGTTTTCTCGGTTTGGAAACCGGAGTCGGGAGAAACCCCACCCATGCTCGACTAACTCCAGAGTTGAGTTCTGTTGTACCCTGTGCAATAACCCGAGATAAACCTCATCCAATCGCAATCCGGGACAGTGTTGGCGGGCTTAGAATCAACGACAACCTAATCTTCCCAAATTTTGGACGGAAGACAACATCACATGCCGCATTTCCGCTTATTCCTTCTGTATCATGATCCTAAATCATGTGGAGGGCATATTTGGGTAACTGGTTTCGTTCTAGGAGAGGGAGGCAATTCTCGCTGTAGTAACTCTTAAAATTGAGGAAAAAAACTTTTGGGTAGATATGGGAGGCTGGCACTTGTAAGAAAGAAAGGGTTTGGACGAGCAAAGTCGCAATATACTACCCAAAACAGTAGGATCGCTCACTATATTAGGGCCATTGCACCGGCCTTAGATTGCACCGGCTCCATCCTAAGGTGTCCAAATCATGTAGTAGGGGCTAGGATAATTGGGCCTCCCGGGAGGGCGTTGGAGTCGCCGGGCACTTGTAAACCTTTTGCTCGAGCGAACTCCGTGCTCCTGGCAACATAATTTTTCGGATACCATCGCCGGGGATATATATGGCGGCGGGCACTCGAAATTGGAACTCTGGGTAATTCATTTGCTTATAATACCGGCAATATGCAGCAGAAGTGTCGTAGGGCTTGGCTAAAAGCACCTCGAAAACCACCATACATGGGAAGTTCGAGATTTTTCTATCTCCACGAATATCGATCTTACTGAAAAACAGAAGGCATGGGGACCAGGAGGAGTGACTTCTAGATACCTCTATCAATCCACATCTCCCTAAGGATGCAGATGTGGTTGGATATTTTCCAATATTATTTTCGCGTTGGTTCTTGGCTGATATCGAGTGCGGGGGAGTACCACCATCGAAAGAGTGAAACCTTTGCACAGAATCGCCTTGTGTTTGGCCTATGGTAGAACTGTAAGGAAAGCCTCAAAGGATTAGGGGGAAGGGCGAAGACGAATGCACTCGATTGTTATATTCTTTTGAACCTCTTACATCCAGAAAACCTTTCTGTGTCTTGGTCTGCCCCCACCCAAAATTAGTATGATATGGCTGAGTTATTGCCCCAAGGCTTCAGAAAATTGCAGGAAAAAAACGCGCCCCACCTGTCAGTTTGCCTGAAAAATCGAAGGGAAGGCTCGGGAAAAATACCTGGGCGCTTCAGGCGGTTCCCATGCGGCCCCTTTCTCCAATCTCACTACGTTGTCTGAGGGATAAAATGACTGGTGAAAGTGTGTAAATTATATTTTGTTCGTCGCGATCTGAAGTCTGGTGGATCGTAAGTTACCGCCCTCCAACAACCAAATCGGAATTTCGGAAAAGCCCTTGCTGAACTTATATAATATTATCAAAACCAGCACCCGAACTGTATAAGCCTTGCGGGTGGATGGATTAATGAAATAAGTATTCGAGCGAGAAATGGTAAGCATTGCTTGACCCCAGAGCATGCCTATTCAACGATCAGGCATTAATGTCAAGAACTTTATTTTCTGGCTAGGAACAGTAATGGCTGCCGGTATCGTAGCCGTACTATTACAGCTTTCTGCGGGATTTCTCGGCAATGTTGGCGCACTCCTATCCCGGTACTCGAGTAAGATGGTACTGTACAGCCAGTGCGGCGATGCGTCGTGACTTGCAAGTATCACGCGAGTATGTTCGCAAGAACTTTCGTGCTTCAACAGTGCAGGAGGTTCAATTCTTTTTGTGGTTTTAGCGCGGTACTGCACAGTACAGATATCGATCCACCTTACAGCGTCGTACAGCGCCGCACCGTACCGCTCAGGCCTGTACTAATAAGGCATCGCGGTCACTAGCCCGCCATCCAATGCAGGGGTTGTTAAGCACACAGAGCAGACAACTGAAGAGAAAACCACTCAGTCTCTTCCACTTGCGCTAAGGATCCCCACAGTTCCCCCGAATATGCCCGCTCCTTATTTATCCAGCATAAGTCCTAGTTCAATCTTGGTCCCGACAATGAGTAATCCGAAACGGGATGATACCCGAACCGTATATCACATATCTACGGAATCTGGAGGGAACTGAAGCGGAGGGCCGATTGGGCTTGCTTCAATCGAGCCGTGTGAGATCACCAGGCCAAATTTAACCCCACTGCGGTTCTCCAATTTCTATCAGATTTGGTCTCTTCCCCGCGGATCCACAGGAAGGATGGGTTCCGAGGCGACAGTACCTGGGCACCTGGGATACTTCCTCCGAATCTCCGGTAAATTTAGAGATAGAACTGAAACTGGAAGGTGTTAGGGATAAGCTCGATCCCTGATGTCGCTCCCGAATTTCTATCGCACGTGCGCCAGGATTACAGGCTTCCCTTGGGCTGCGTGAAAGGGTAGAATTCGTTACCGGGTGCGTCAAACCGGACGTGGTTATCAGATATCGGTGGTTGCTGTTCACCACTGACCCAGTACTTCTAGAACCACAAGATCCAATTCGTCCTGCGCCCGGCTTCGCTTGCCTGGTAATGAGTTTTCACTGTTCCACAAGGCCCAAGGGGTGCTAGTTCAGCACTTCAAGGGCATACGTTCTATACTAGGTGCTCCAAAGACGAGTGAGATTCTTGGTGGGCAGCTGGCAACTGGCAACTGGAAGGGAACCTCACCACCATTACAAACTTCATTCTTCTCGGGAGTCGGGATAGATGCCTCCAATTCTGCCCTTCCGGCAGCTGTGGTACTATTATCCTAGAATATAGGCCTAGCATAGTATAGCCCACCTCCTTCACAGCAGAAGGATATTCGCCGGAATGACTTACGTTCCTCTTGTGCATGATGATGATGCTGCCTTTGCTGCATAGTTCCCTTTATGGGACTTGGGATGCCAGGTTTGCATGATTGCAGCAACCTTCCCCGGTGCTGGCATCTTAGGTGCGGTGCATTTGCAAACGATTGTTAGATTGCTCCCCAGATTGCATCCCTAATCCTCCACTATTAAAAGGCTTAAAATTCCTCTTCTCTTCACCGGTCCCTCAAGTGAACCCTTCTGCACCGCTACCATTTCTTTGAGAAAGGATTCACTGATGTATATCATTACCAATATCTACTTTATCACCGTATGTTCTCCCCTCTCCAGACCTCTATGGCAGCCCACTGACCCAATTCACGTAGGCTATTGCGGCGATAGGAGGCGCTTTGTTTGGTTTCGATATCTCGTCTATGTCTGCTATGTAGGTTCCATCACAATACGTTTTCTCATTTATTTTTCCTCGGAAAACAACGGTTGCTGACAGCTAAAAGTATTGGGACAAAGCAGTACAATGACTTCTACGGACCTAACATTGATTCTGATGTGCAAGGTGGAATCACTGCCGCCATGCCTGGTGGTTCCTTCTGTGGTGCTCTTGCTTCCGGCTTTCTCTCGGATAGAATGGGTCGTAAGTACAGTATTCAGATTGGAGCTCTTACCTGGGTTCTGGGTTCGATCTCCATTTGCATAGCGAAGAACATCCCCATGCTTGTTCTGGGCCGTTTCACCAACGGCCTAGCTGTTGGGATCTGCTCGGCTCAGGTCCCCGTTTACATCTCCGAGATTGCTCGTGCAGAAATTCGTGGCCGTCTTGTCGGCTGTCAGCAGTGGGCCATCACTTGGGGTATCATGATTATGTTCTATATCTCGTACGGGTGCTCCCATATGGAAGGAGCTATTTCCTTCAGAATCCCATGGGGAGTCCAAGCGGTTCCAGGTGCTTTACTATTCATTGGGCTGTTTTTCTTGCCGAGATCTCCTAGATGGCTTGCTAAGAAGGATCGTTGGGAAGAGGCCGAGAAAAACTTAGCCTTGCTACACGGGAACGGGGATGCCAACGACCCTTATGTTAAACAAGAGATGGAAGACATCAGGGCCATGGTCGAGTTTGAAAGGCGGAATGCCGATGCCACATTCTTAGAATTGTTCAAGCCCAGTGTCATTAACCGCACGCACATCGGTGTCTTTACACAAATCTGGTCTCAGATGACTGGAATGAATGTCATGATGTACTATATAGTGAGCGGCCCAACCCCTCTAATCCATTCACTTGGCTAACTCTCCCAGACCTACGTCTTTGCGATGGCGGGGCTGAGTGGGAACAATCTCCTCCTCTCTTCCTCTATCCAGTATGTAATAAACGTGGCAATGACCGTCCCTGCCCTAATCTGGATGGACCGCTGGGGCCGCCGTAAAACACTCCTCGTCGGTTCAAGTCTCATGATGACCTGGCTCTTTTCCAACGGCATCATCATGGGGTCCTTTGGCCATCCTGCCCCAGAAGGTGGTGTTAATGGTATCAAGGCAGTAGCCTGGGAAGTCCATGGGGCTCCATCCAAGGTGATCATCGCAAATAGTTATCTATTTGTTGCATCCTTCGCTATCACGTGGGGCCCTACCTCCTGGGCCTACCCCCCGGAGCTTTTTCCTCTCCGCGTTCGTGGAAAAGCTGTTGCCCTTTGCACATCTGCAAATTGGATCTTCAACTTTGCTTTAGGATATTTCGTCCCCCCCGCCTTCGAGAGCATTAAATGGAAGGTATATATCATTTTCGGAGTATTTTGTGCGGCCATGACTGTTCACGTCTTCTTCTGCTTCCCCGAAACAGCTGGGAAGAGTTTGGAGGAGATAGAGGCCTTGTTCCAGGAGGGACTCCCGGCCTGGAAAACACGGGTCTCTAATGAGCCCAGCCCCGCGAGAGTACCGAGGGTTGACAGCTCCGAAAAGACTGATTACGCGCATGATGCAGTGTGAGCAGGGGAGAGCAATTTCTTTTGTTTTTTCTTTCCCTCTTTTTTTGTTTATATGATCAAGTACTGGATATGGTTACTAGCTATTTCTAGATTTCAGTTTACATTCCATTTCTACTGTTAGGGTAGCGGAGGCGTTTAACTTAGCGTACTAGGAGGAAATGGGAATATCATTGCCTGAATATCAGCATGGTCTCATCAAACATCTCTCCTCGTGGAACGGTGCGCCTACCATAATCGTGCCTTGCGGTAACACCGCCACTCATAAGCTACCGGTATCTCATGACCACCTCCGCCAGGAAAGGCTACCGTATAATACAATATTATCTAGCCAAATTGAGTGCAAGTGCAACTACCCAATAAAGAGCTAGTGAGCTGCTAATAGAGCCATTTGTCCCCGCCATTAAAACCACAATTTTCGTTGAAAAGTTTCGATTTACTAAGAGGGAAGTAAGTGATTTTCACACACATCTCTATTGGTGTAATATTATCTTCTCAATAGCCAATGAGAGGCTGGGCTAGAGGAGTTAGCAACGGTTACTATCTATCCAAGAATCTTCATCTGGGTAAGGGCTTCTGAGGCTGGGAGAAGTGGACAAACAGCAAGGGGCCAAACACCTCTAATGTAAGGTAACTTGCAGAATAATAACTGGCCTTTCACGAAAACATCTCCCCGGCCTCGAGTATCAAATTCTCCTTTCATCTCCGGACAGGGTTCCTGTCGCACCCCAATACAAAGACCCCCCTTAAAACCTATCACTAAATAGGGGAGGAGCAGGAGGGTCGCGGTAGCTCCTGTTCAGCAGCCTCAGCTCGTGTTAACCCAATTTGGCGAGATAATAAGGCAGTGCGGTTAATGCACTACCGGTAATAATCCTATGCAGATCGACCCATTACAAGTACCAGTACCAGGACCATTTTTTCTTCTCCAAGGGGGTTTTTACGCAGGAGCAGAAGCTCAAACGATGTCTCTAGATACTGAACCCACTTCTATGAAATTTTACGCTGAGACTTACAGTATAAATAGACAAGTGAGGGTTCCAGCGTCCGGAGCTGCAAGGGTGGCGGAGAATCTTATGATACCGGTATGGCTTGGCACGCTCTGCCGAGGCGAGCCGAACATCGCGGTCTTGTACAAACCGCGAATAGGGTATGGATTTTTTTGATTTCTTTACATCTTGGAGGCCTTAGAAGCAACCGTAGAAACAATCGCAGTGTGTCCGGATCCACTCACGTCCCTTCCCAGCCACAATTCTTCTTGTTCGGTATCATAGATTAGCAACTTGGCTCGCTCGGGAGTGAGAAGCTTGTAGTCACTTTTGAGGCTCAATGCCAAGCCTGTCCTCCCGTGTTGCCCTCATCTAGAAAACCTCCTGAAAACGTCAACGTCGCCTGAAAGTTACCGCCAAACTAAAATCAACCAGCAACAACAAAACAGCATTCACGATGGCCACGGTTCAGGCCCAGACGATCCTTCGGGATCCGCAACTATTCTACTGGATTTTATTCCCGATTACGGCTGTCATGATTCTAACGGGCGTATTACGACACTACGTCACGGTGCTAATGCAGTCGGATCCTAAGAAGCAGGAGCTTAACGCTATTTCTGAACAGTAATTTTTCTCTGCCCTATGTTTGGCGTATGTTCCTGACGGTGGGGATCATAGGCGTAATCTACTTCGGGGGGTAAACCTTCGAACAAATCACAACCAGATCCCGCTCTCGTCATTCATTGCGAGGAAAAATTACCTTGTTGCGGCATACAATCGCGGGGACTTCCTGAAGGACCCGGAGAGTAAGGGGAAACCACCGGCGAATCCGATGACGGACCCGGCAGGGATGGACCAGATGATGAATATGCTTAAGGGAAACATGGCGATGATGGTGCCGCAGACCTTGATTATGGGATGGATTAATGCTTTCTTCTCAGGATTCGTAATAAGTGCTCACTCACCCACCCTCACTCCGTTCCTCGTAAACCTCTTTTGCTGACCTATACATCTCTTAGTGAAACTTCCCTTTCCCCTAACTCTCCGCTTCAAATCCATGCTCCAATCTGGCGTTGCTACTCGAGATCTCGACGTCCGATGGGTTTCCTCCCTATCGTGGTACTTCCTTAACCTCTTTGGTCTCCGCAGCATCTTCACCTTCATTCTCGGGAACGACAACTCGGCGGACCAAATGGCGCAGCAGATGCAGCAGATGAATCCTGCCGGCGGAAATGCCATGTTTGCACCTGGGCAGGACCCTAATAAGATGTTTTTGGCCGAGGCGGAAAATCTGGAGGTTGTTGGTGGACAACATGAGTGGGTTCTTGATGGGGTTGTTGATAGATTACTTAAGAGTAGAGTTTAGATGGTCCTGGGGGAGGGAGGGTATTGGAAACGGTAATGGGGTTTAGATATCATCAATTCATGTGTACTCTTTCAGTGTTTTAATTTTGGAGAACGGGGTTACGAGGCTAGGGTTTAGATTTATTGCTATCCTGCGGTGTCGATACTACGCCTGGGATTCATTGTTTATTCTCCAAACCTGCCCGGGCTGAACACTGGATCAACTCTCATGCCCCCGTCCGGAATGCCCCGTTATGTCATCAACCGCTTGAAGCCGGCATCACTACCACCATGAACCCATCTCAGCCCAATAGGTCATAACCCTCGACTAACAAGATATCGAACCCAGTGCTTTTTTATATAGACGAACATCATCTCGCACCGCTTGCCAAACTTGAGCCAAAATTCGGGTGGGATCCAATCCTAACCCTCCCATCTCCCTGGCTGTCACATTAGTCGGTAATATCGTACTTATTGCTGCCAAAAACCTGCCGGAATAACCTAACACAAGTCCGTCTAATAGGAAAGTTGCAGCTGACGGGTTACTCAAGGTACGTACAGTGCGTAACTTATATCATGGGTGGGTACGTATCGACTTGAGCTACATGGAGACCCCTCTATCAAGACCCGTCCAGGCAGCTTCTGGGATGGGCGTGTTCGGTGATTACCGCGGGTAGGTGCATTGTCTCTGAGTACTTCTTGCTCGCTCTGGCAGATTTGAGGGCTTGGGTTGCTTAAATGATACTGTATAATCCGTTCCAAACCTTCCAGAGCCCTCTAACCGCTATTATTAGGGAGGCGGGGACTTGGCCAGATCTAGAAGTGGATCAAGCTTCCCATGGATTTCATTTAAATCTACGAGTACGCTATAGAATTTCTAGAGCAATCAAACCTCTGGATTTAGCCTGGAGGGAAGAGGGGGGGTGGCGGGTCTGGCTTGGCGTGCTTTCGGGGGAGTCTACCGATCTTCTGAGTTTTCTCTCTCCTCATTGTTTGCTTGGCGGTCAATTGAGATTTTCCGGTTTTCTTGTATTTCTGGTACCGCCCTCTTGATCGGTATACTTACTGATTCGGTAGGTATCCATCCTGTAGTGACTTCCGGTGTTGTGATACGGCGCTGTAAAGTATACTCCCCATGGCCCGAACGAAATAAAGGGGAAGCATCATTTCCATATGATATTATGGCAGTAGCAAACGTTCCCGGAATTATCCTATCCGCTAATAAAGATCCCCCGTGATCTTATCAAGGCGAGCCGGACACTGCGAGCCCCTCGAACTATGTTTCGGGCCCCAAATGGGGATTCGGGAAGACGGATGGTCGCCCCAGCCCCTTAGTCATTGGCAGTTCATCTGCGGTGATTTCCTGTAGTATCACTCGTTGCCGTTACAGAACCGCCCGGCACCCTAACTCGAGTCTTGGACTATTGACACCTCCCTTTTTTTTTTCTCCATTGCGGAAAAAGAGGAGAAAAAGCGAAAGAAAACGAAAAATAGCTTGTTAGGTGGATACCGTCTGGAGCACAATATAGACTTCTCCTTTCCCAAAGAGTATTTCCAAGGATCGTTGAGCACGGTTTATGTCGTATTGGGATTTAAATGTTTGAAAAGGCAGCCTTCCTAGAAATTCTTAACTTAGACCCTGCATTCGTGGGGGGGTTATGCCTGCTAACTTAGTTTGTACATTCGGCACTGTCTTCTGGCGGGGGAGAGTAAGATACATTGGCATAAAACCTCGCACTTGCTGTGTGTGATGTACAATAATTAAATATAGCATCACTTCAGTAACATCTATTCCTCTAAAAATAATGAGGCATCAAAGGCTGCGCAGGTGGCCAACTCCGGCACCAGGAGGAAACACCTGAAGGAAGCACGCATATACATATATACTGCCAACTTCTCAGTTTCCATACTACGTCCTCACTCTCTAAGAAGTTAGAACAAGAACATCCGCATGGCAAGGAAATACGCGCTACGAGTGCAGTGTATCTGTGAGGTACAGACAGCCGAAAATTGAGAGACATAGGACATACGTTAGCCCTTCACGTGCGAGTGGATGAGGAGGGCCCCACAGCGGGTGGGTGGGTATCAGGAGGCAAAGATGTAATTATCGTTCATTGTGTTCCAATCGCAACTATTCACACCTAACCTTTTTTTTTTAAAGAAAAAGTTGCAGGATTAGGCTTTCCCACTCCGGGTGATGGATCCTTCAATACGGTGATAATAGGTCATTGTGGTGGTAACCGAGATTTCCGGGCTCCTGCAAACCGCACCGGCAGTGGAGGGGGGTAGCGTTTTCTGGAACGGTAGGTTTTGTAGGGAGTGAGACGGGATCGGGACGGTGTCGTGCATCGATCAGTGTGGCACAGGAGCGCTGCAAGATTCTCGACTGATGGTAATCCTCATCAGGGAACTGCGGCCGACTTTAAAGTCGAGGGGCACGAGTGTCAAACTACTACTCTAGGGGTAGGGAAGGAGGGGGGGAGCCCAGTTTATGTCGAGTGATGTCTGGTGATGTCTTCGAGCTCTCAATTGAAATATAAGAATCCAGGCGCAGAGTCACTGCTGGGTTTCCTCCCCGCATAACTTGGACCTGAATACCGACTTGATTGGTTTTCAAAGTTTTCATTAGTCTGCGTCCGGAAAGAGCGCCACAGCTCGGGGCTAGCCGAGTCGGCACACCGACTAGTCATAGTCTAGCAACACTCGAACATTGACTACATGAAACATTATGACCTTGAATTCAAGTGTATCACGATAGCTCACTCGCCCCACCAAGTAGGTATATTATGGGAGCACTCTCATAGAATCACACCATCAAACACTCACACCAAGCATAATACCTCCACACCTCTTAAAAAAAGAGATACACATCCAACACATTCGCATCTATTCCGGTAAACACAACACAGGCAAGGCTCCAATGATCGTCCTCGCCATTCTTCAAGCAAGTTTCTGGTTCCTGGTGACCTTCCCCTTCCTCCTCGCGCGGAACGCCATCCTCCCCCCCGACCACATACTCCTCAACATCCCACCAATCAAATTCCTCCTCTCCCTAACCTTCGAAACCTTGGCCAGAGTCTTCCACCACATCAACCGAGTGGCTCGCGGGTCCATTGGACAAGTACTCTGGATTGTAAACATATGCCTCATTCTCGTGACACTAGTGGCCAGTATTTACCCAGGGGTTCCGGCCTCCGCCCGATACATACCCGCCCTCCTGGAGATGGAGAGGAACGTGATCGCAAGCTGGTTCACTATATTCCTGACGATGCACTACATTGGACTATCCCCAGAGGGCGAGGTATGGCGCGTGATGAGGTACCTGAGGAGGGGTCATTATGGAGCGCTAATTGACTGTGCGGTCGCTTGTTGGGGGGTTATGTGGGTTGCTGGTGCTCTTGCCGAGTGGGGGGGGGTTGTGCTGTATGCTGCTTTGGCCATTGTGGACGTTTATCAGTTGGATTGGGTGGGTGATAGGGAAGGCAGGCTGGAGCAGCGGGAGAGGTTCGAGGTTTGGGAATGGTGTGAGCGGGTTATTCGGGATTGGCAAGGATGGGCCGAAGCTCGGGCCGCGAGTGGTGGTGATGGTGAGGATTTGGAGGGGACCAATCCGGATATTGTGGTCGAGCAAGTTCCTGAGCCGGATCGTCGGCCGGAGGAGGATCTGGCGAGCGCAAGTGTTCCGGAGCCCATTGCTACAGAAGTTGCCGGGGCTTCGCTCGACACCTCCGACGCCCAGACTGAGGCCCAAGCTACTGACACCCCCGAGGAAAATCCTTCCGGACCAGCCCCCGCTACTCCCTAAACACCCAAGGTTTATTGGTCAGGAACGAATGTTCAGTTAATGATCTATCGCAGCCCTCACTGTATAGCCTAGTAGCTTTAGCATTGCATATCATTTCCAGGACTTTCATAGCACATTTCCTACAACGCAGAACTCATGTATAATAATACCAGACCTAAGAAGACATCACATCCAGCACACATAGATCCTACAATGATATACGTATATATAGCAAGCACTTCTCCAGAATCAACCCCAAACCATCAAATCAGCACTTTAGACACAGAACCATGACCATGCTCTCTCTATACACCAAGTTTGCAATTTCCCAAATTCTATGAATCCCCCCCAGACCCACCAGTAAAAAAGGCCGATCCCAATCTATCATAAGAGTCCACCCAAAAACCAGCACGACCCGTACAGTACGAAAATAAAAAAGAACTCCCTTCCAGAAACTCACCCCACTCAAATAAACCCTTATAATTATTACAATAATAGCAACCGTGCCGCCAAACATTTCTGATCCCCACCCCCTACCCAAATCCAAAAGGAAGGCTTTCAAATCCCACCCCCCCCCCCCGCTATTCTCACCATATGTACATCTCTTGGGGGAAAAAAAGAAAATACCCTTCACAATTGCACTCCCACCCCCCTCGCACTTCCCGCGAGGCCGTCAGGTTACATTAGCTTACATTCGGCGGGCACTGCAACAACAAACTCCAGGTTACAATATATACGTGTCGAGCACCGGGAGGGCTGGGGGGTGCGACACGAAATAGTTGAATTGTTTACTATGAGCCGCGTGTGTCGCGCCCATAGTATTGGGATCAACACGTATCATACGTACGTACACTTCTTATGCCCCGTCACGGATTTTGCCCCGTCGGACATACGCCTCGCCACCCAGTTCGTGGTTGGTGGTGGTGGTGGCGAACGGGTATCTCGCCGGGATCTGGGGTCACGAGTGAGAAGTTGTGATGGAGCTACTAGGAGTAGGGGCGAATTTTGAAATCCTGTTTAGTTTTTCGATTTTGCGCTGTGGTATAATATGCCTTTCTGTTATAGGATGCACCTCCACCTTTTTTTTTTTTTTTTCCCTCCCCCTTTTCTACTTCCGATTCTGCCTCGGGGATTTGTTCTGCTTTGTTTTTTTTGGTGAGTGAGTGGTGGATTTTGGTGCTGGGATGGGTGATTTACTTTACTATACTATGGTGCGAGAGTGAGATATGATGGATGGATGGATGGATGTCGAATTCTCCCTGAATGAAGCACGGTTATCGAAACCCGTGATACCGGTTCCTCGGCCCGGGCCCGGAAACTGGACCCGAGATCTGCTTCTACTTTTACTGGTAGCATACCATGCTTTGCTAAACTTAGGTATCTGAAACGAAACTACAAATCATTTAGAACCACTGGGACGATTATCGTTTCTGGGACTCGTGCTCTCTTGCT